CTACCATCAGTGAATGAGAGTTTCTGTTGCTCTGTATCCTCATCAACATTTGATATTTAGTTTTTAGACTTTAGCCATTCTGTAGTTGTATAGTACTATCACATTGTTGTTTTCATTTGCAATTTCCTAATGACAAGTGATATTAAGCATTTTTTTCATTTGTTTATTTGCCATTTGTATATCTTCTTTGATGAGGTCTCTGTACAGATCTCCTCCCTGCCCTTTTAAAAAAATTGCTACAGGATCTCACTCTGTTGCCCAGACTAGAGTCCAGTGGTATGATCATAGTTCGTTGTAGCCTCAAACTCCTGGGATCAAGCAATCTGCTTACCTTAGCCTCGTAAGCAGCTGGGACTACAGGTTTGTACCACCACTCCCAGCTAATTTTATTCTTTTTTTTTTTTTTTGAGTTGGCGTTTCACTCTGTCGCCCAAGCTAGAGTGCAGTGGCACACTCATGGCCACCCCAGCATCAACCTACTGGGCTGTGGCAATCCTTCTTCCTCAGCTTTCCAAGTAACCGGAACTGCAGGCGCAGCCAATTTTTGGTTTGTTGTAGAGACGAGGTGTCGCCAAGTTGCCCTGGCCAGGCTGGAACCTACAGGCCCAGGCAATCCACTCATCTTGACCTCCTAAAGTACTGGGATTACAGTCTGAGCCAGGTTTTTTCTTTTTTGTAGACAGGACCTTGCTATATTGCCCAGGCTTGTACCAAACTTCTGGCCTCAAACAATCCTCCCACCTCGGCCTCCCAAAGTGCTAGGATACAGGCATGAGCCTTTTGCCCATTTTTAAATTGGGTTTTTTTGCTTCGCCTTATGCCCATTTTTAAATTGTGTTGCTTGTGTTCTTACTACTGAATTTTAAAAGTCGTTGTATATTTTGGATACTAGTTTTTTTTAATCAGATAGGTCTTTTCTAAAATTTTCTCGTTTTTTTTAATCAGATAGGTCTTTTCTAAAATTTTCTCCTAGTCTGTGGCTTGAGTTTTTTTAATTCTCTTAATGCTGTTTATCGCAGAGCAGACATTATTAATTTTAAAGAAGTGCAACTTACCAGTTTTTTGTTTCATGGATTGTGCTTTTGGTGTTATATTTAAAACTTGTTGCCAAACCCAAAGTCACCTTGATTTTTTTTCCTGTTTTATTATCTAAGTTTTATAGTTTTGCGTTTTATATTTAGGTCTGTGATCCATTTTGAGTTAATTTTTGTGAAAGGTATAAGGTCTGTGTATAGATTTTTTTGCATACAGATGTTGTAGAAATTATTTTTTCTCTATTGAATTGCCTTTGCTCCTTCGTCAAATTTCATTTGACTATATTTCTGTTGTCTTTTCTATTTCATCGATCTGTTCTTTCACCAATACCAATCTATCTTGCTTAGTAAATTTTTACATTGGATAGTATCAGTTCTCCAACTTTGTCATTTTTCAATATTGGGTTGGCTACTGTGGGTCTTTTGTCTTTCCCTATAAACTTTAGAGTCAGCTTATTGCCAGCTATAAAATAGCTTGCTGTGATTTTGTTGGGATAGCATTAAATCTGTAGATCAGTTTGGGAAGAAGTGATCATAACAATTCATGGAGTTTCCTAGTCCATGAACATTTATTTTTCATTGTTTTAGATATTCTTTGATCATTTTGTCAGAGTTTTCTAGTTTTCATCATATAGATTCTGCATATATTTTGTTAGAGTTATACCTAGGTGTTTAACTTTTTGCAGTGTTATAAGTGGTATTGTTTTAAATTTCAAATTCCAGTCATTGCTGGTATATAGGAGAGCAACTGACTTTTGTATGTTACTCTGAGATGGTGCTATAATTGCTTATTCCGGTTTTTTTATTTTTGTTTTTGTTTTTTTACATAGACAATCATGTCATTTATGAACAAAGACAATTTTTTCCTTCCTGTTCTATATACGTTTTCTTTTCTTGTCTTGTTGCACTAAGACTTTCAGTATAATGTTGAAAAGAGTGATGAGTGAGGATATCCTTGCCTTATTCCTGATCTTAGGGGGGAAAGCATCTTTCCTTCTCTCCCCTCGCCCCCCTTTCCCTTTCCTTCTCTTCTTCTCTCCCTCTCCCCCCTCCCTTTCTCCCCTTCTCCTCTTTTCTTCTTCTTCTTCTCTTCCCCTCTCCTCCCTCTCTCCTTCCCCTTTCTCACTCTCTCCCAGCCTTCCAAAGCGCCAGCGAGCACATACTCGGCCTCCTGGGCTCAGGCAGCCTTGCCTCAGCCTCCTGAGTAGCTTGGCCTACAGGCATGTACCACCACACCTGGCTAATTTTTTGGTTTTTTTTTTTTCTTTGTAGTGACAGAGTCCTGTTATGTTGCCTAGACTGGTCTTGAATTCCTGGACTCAGGCAAGCCTCTTACCTCAGCCTCCCAGAGTGCTGAGATTATAGGCTTGAGCCACCGCCGGGCTAGTTTGTTACTATTAAGTAAGATGTTAGGTGTAGGTTTTTTATGTCTTTATCCAGTAGAGAAAACTTCCCTTTATTCCTAGTTAAATTTTTCTTTTTTTTTTTTTGAATTGGAGTCTCACTCAATCGCCCAGACTGGAGTGCAGTGGCCGCTCCTGGCCACCGCAGCCTCGACCTACTGGGCTCTGGCAATCCTCCCGCCTCAGCCTTCCAAGTAGCTGGAACTACAGGCGTGTGCTACGATGCCCGGCTAATTTTTTGATTTATTGTAGAGATGAGGTCTCACCAAGTTGCCCAGGTGGGTCTCGAACTCACCTCAGCCTTCCAAAGCGCGGGATTACAGGCTGAGCCACCGAGCCCAGCTCCTAGTTAAGTTTTTATTCATGAATAGGTGTTGAATTCTGCCACATGTGTTTCCTGCATCCGTTGATATTATATGATTTTTCTTCCTTTGGCCTATTAATATGATGGATCACATTAGTTGTTCATTAATTGCTTTTCTTTAATTGTGTTTCTAATGTTAACAAACCTTGCATACCTGGAATAAATCTCTCTTTTTGTCATAGTATTTTTTTTTTATGTGTTAAATTTGATTTGCTGATGTTTTGTTGAAGATTTTTGCATATACATTCATGAGAGATACTGATTTGTAGAATTCTTCTTGCAATTTTTTCCCCCCTGGTTTTGGTATTAGCAGACCTACTCTTCATTTTTCATTATTATCTTCTAGCTTTTATTTATCTACATTCTTTGAATTTAGCTATGTGAAAATGACATACAAGTGATATTGTATTTGTTCACTTAAATTGTTAATGTATAACATTCATTCAGTCTCTAGTATAGCCTTTTTTATGCTGCTTTATAATTCTCATTGTATGATTTTCATTTAAAAAAAGTTGAACATTCTTTTGAATTTTAAAGTGAGAAATGTTGTTTAGTTATATTTACAGGAAGATGACTAAACTCTGAAATCTCTAGTTTTCTTCTGTGGGAATATAGTGACATTAAGATAGTAATAAGGAAATAACTTTATTTTTCTTTGGCTATTAAGGAGAAGTGTCATTCTCTTTGTACTTACATAGGAACTCTTAGCTAGAAAAATACTGTATACACGATGGAATATTACACAGCCATTAAGGACAAACATATGGACTTCGCAGCAAGTCGGATGGATTAAGAGTCTATAATACTCAGTGATCTATCACAGAAACAAAGAACTGAGTATCACATGTTCTCACTCATAAGCAGATGTTGAACATTTACATAATTCTATAAGAAAGGAATTGACAGTAGTGGGATATTGTGGGGGAGGGGCACACAACATCAATATGGGTACCTGATCTCAAACCAGGCCAAGTAGGGACCACGGGGAGGCCTAATTTTACCTGTACAATGACCACTTGTATACCTAATCCTAAAAAAAAAAATACACTTTTTTAAAAATAATGGGATCATATGACTTATCAGTGCTGGGAGAGTCGCATAAGAGGCCTGACTGGCAGTATGGGGGACACTTCTTTTTTCACCCAGTCTTGTCTTATATTCTTCGTCTTTTTCTCATTCTTCATTTCTTTGCCAACCTTTATGTGCAACAGAAGAATATAGTGTAGCCCTTTGCACTCAGATGTTCTCTCTGAGGGGACATTGTAAATCTAACAAACCACTCGGATGTTCCCTCTCAGGGGACATAAAGTGATTGCTGGTGATTATACAGTACAAACTTATGCCAACATATTTTTTTCAAAAATGTATGTTTCCTTGAAGTTTTCCATTTAAATTGTATGAAAAAGCAAATAAAGATACAGAATGTGTACTGAGATAAACGTAAAAAAAAGTCAGCTGGCATTACGTAGAAAGAATATATAAAGTGCTTTCACAGTGGCACACAGACTGGACAGTAAATTATAAATTATTATTGTGGGCAGAAGAAAAACGAGACAGCATTGCCTGCCCCAATAGAAGAACACCAGGTGGAAGATGTCAGACAAGTTACTATTGCACAACTTGTAACAACAATGAACCTGCAATGCATGTTGGTGACTGTTTCACGTGTCACCACACATTAGAAAAGTATAAGATATAACATTTTGATTTTTTTGTGATATGTTCCTCAGTGTCCAAAATTCCATTGTAAGCCAAATATCATTACAATAAAATACTTGCTATACAATTTAATATGAAATGATTCGTTTTTCACTATTTCATAAAAGTGCGGTTGAGTTGGTGGTGGGTGATCCGCAAGCTGCCTCTGAGCGTGAACTGTTTCTGAGTGCAAAGGGTTAATACTGATTTTTTTTTAATCCTGTAAACTGTTATATTTCTTACTATCAAATATTTAAACAAGTGAGTTGAAGAACATAAATTGATTTATCCTTTTCAATCTGTGTTTGGTCAGTGTTTCTACAAGTAAAAAGTTTTGCAACTTTACATGGGGTGTGACTAGGGAAGATGATGACAGCAAAGAGGAAATGTTAGGACTTACTAACCTGAGATAAAAGTATAATATATTAACTATAAGATTTTTTAATGTAAAGGGGGAAAAAATGGCAAGTCATTCATGTTTGTGTGTCTACTATTTTGTAGGCAGAGAACCCCCCTAATGGGCCAGACTGTGGTTATGGCTCCTTTCACCAGCAGTATTGGCTTGATGGAAAGATTATTGCTGTGGGGGTGATTGACATCCTTCCATACTGTGTATCATCTGTATATTTGTACTACGATCCTGATTATTCATTTCTGTCTCCCGGTGTCTACTCTGCACTGCGGTAAGATTGCTTTTGCTGTTGTAATAGATTACATGGAACTTCAAATAATTACTCATTTGGTTATATTTAATTATGCAACAATAGAGATCCTATTTGAAAGTATAACATGTTACTATAGAAGTCTGATATAGAATAGAGGTTATATACTACTATAAATATACACTGATTTATAATTTTCATTATATGGTTTTCATTTAAGAGCAGTTATATTTAAAATCATATTTAATTTTAAAATGAGAACTGTCATTTAGCTAGCTGTATTTACGGGAAATATAATTGTATATAATTACATGTATCTATATTATCTAATACTGTATAGCATATTATGTGCACTATATAATATATAAGTAGATATTACATACAACTACTATATGTCACATGGGTATTAGAAAGTACCACCTTTAGAACTGATGCCAGTGTCTTGTGGTAATTCTCTAGCTTTTTAAGGTATTCATCTAGTCTAATGTATAAGAAGTCATTGTGTTTGTGGCATGCTTTTGTTGTTTAGTTTATGCATTTATTTAAGCTCACCTGTCAGAATTACTTATGTTCCTTAAATACTATATTATTTGTATTCTTGTCATTACTATCATCTATATATTATATAATGAGACAGGTTCTCACTATATTACCCAGGCTGGTCTTGAATTCCAGAGCTCAAGAGATCTTTCCGACTCAACCTTCCAAATAGCTGGAATTATAGGCTAATGCCACTGTGCCTGGCTTTATATTTCTTACTATTATTTAAAAATTAAATTCATGTGGTATAAATAAAGTAATAGGGGTCTGCTGGAAAAAATATAGTTATATACATATATAGAACAGATCTGGAAAATCCCTGGTCACTTAAATCTTTGACTATCATCAAAAGATGATTTTCCTTTTACATCCATGGCAGCAAATATACGTAGTGCAGCACAAGCATTTTTATTTTTTTTAATTTTAAAAAATTTTTAAATTTAATTTAATTTGTTTAATTTTATTAATTTTTTTTTTTGAGTTGGAGTCTCATTCTGTCACCCAGACTGGAGTGCAGTGGCCGCTCCCGGCCACCGCAGCCTCGACCCGCTGGGCTCCAGTGATCCTTCCACCTCAGTCTTCCAAGTAGCTGGAACTACCGGTGCACGGTACCATGCCCGGCTAATTTTTTTATTTATTGTAGAGATGAGGTCTCGCCAAGTTGCCCAGGCGGGTCTCGAACCTGCGGGTTCAGGCAGTCCACTCATGTCAGCCTCCTAAAGGCACGGGATTACAGGCTGAGCCACCGAGCCCGGCTACAAGCATTTTTAATGGTAAGAAGATTGGAGTCTTATTCCATGCTCCTATTTTTATTCCTGTTTGTGTGTAGGTGTGGTAGAGAAGGGAAAGCGGGTTGGGAATTATTTTTCGTTTTGTTTATCTGGGAGTTTGATTCTGTTTGTCTCTTTCTTTGTCATTGTGTCATGCTTTTTTCGTTTCATTTCCCAGTCTTTATGTTTGATGGTCACATCTTCACATCATGGTAAAATATGTGGCCAGTTCACAAGGAGGGGACCCCCCAAAAAGGGAATTTATTTATTAAAAATTGTGTACTCTTACATGTTTAAACTTCAGTCACCTTCAAAGTACTTTCCATTTGATGCAGTACACCTTTCAATACGCTTTTTCTACTGCTGAAAACAGTTTTTGAACCCATCAGTTTTGATGCCCTTTAGTGCTTCTGGCATTTTTATTTCACTTTTTCCACATTGGCAAAACGTGTTTCCCTTTGAGGACTTTTTTCATCCGGGGAAACAAAACAAAGTCACTCAAGGTGAGATTGGGTGAACAGTGAGAGTGGGGCATGGGGGTTATGCTATTTTTGGTCAAAAACTGAAGTACAGTGTGGGTAGGTGTGTTGTCGTGGTGGAAGAACTAGTCACCTGTTTGCCACACTCGGGACTTTACTTCTGCAAATTGTGATACAACCTTCTCAAGACATCCAGAGATAAACTGGGTGACCGTTTGATCTGGAGGAACAAATTCCAAGTGTACTACTAGGTGTCCGTCCTCCAAAAGATAATTCTGGTTTTTTAAGGGGTTCTTCCCTTCGTATTTTATTTCTGTTTATGTGCTTTTTGTTTCCTGAAGTAGAAGAGTTGATATTTTTCTTTAAATTAACAGTTTGATATTTTAAAAAATCTGTTCCACAATTTGTTTTTGTGTTTCAGTGGTTCACAGTATAAAGAAGTTCTTCATTTTGATGTTTTCAACCTGACTTTTCTTAATACCACTTTATAACAAACTCACAATTATTAAACTTAAAATTGATCTCCATAACAGTCCTTTGTTTTTCTTATGTGATTATTTGCATTTTTATGGAAAGTAATTAAAAAATAGTCATGCTCTTGATGAATTTACTGAAATTGGAACTAATAATTTAAGCGTTCACATTTTATAACTATAGAATTTTATACTTATTATATAACTTTAGAAGTTTGTATTTATTTCAGAAAAGATGTTTTATTCCAAAAGCAATCAATACTTTCAGATTACTGCTGTTTTATGTGTATATCTATCAATTTACAATGTGTATTTATAGATTTTTTAAATCATGTATATTAAGAATATCTATTCCTACATAATAAACCCTGGCCTATGTTTTAAATATTTTGTGGCCCAGTAAACTGAGAGTTGGTTTAGATATTGAAAAAGCAAATTATTAATTCTCAACACTATTAGAAAGAGTTCTGCTGATCACTTAGAAAATCGTAGTGTTGGAGAACTGTGAGGAAGTAGTAGGGGAGCCTGAGAGTGAATGGTGTTGCCAGGGGGAGTGGCAAGGTTGCTCCTGTGCCCAGACTTGTCGCTTCCTTTTGGTGTTCTCAAACATGTGAGTTGTTGAGATTATAGAAAAGGAAAGACAGGTGGGGGATTGATATCTTGAAACAAAATTGGAGGATAGGTTACATGTTGCCACACCTTTTATTGATTTTCATTGATTTTGGTTAAACATGTTTAGGTAGTCTTCCCTCCATTTCTTTAGTTTCTTTTCTTTCTTTTTTTTGGCGGGGAGGGGGTCACTGTCTTACTCTGTCACCCTGACTGGCGGGCAGTGGCACGATCATGGCTCTCTGCAGCCTAGACCTCCTGGGCTTGGGCAATCCTTCTGCCCCAACCCCCTGAGTACCTGGAACTGTAGGTACATGCCACCATACCCAGCTAATTTTATTTTATTTTTTGTAGAGACAAAGTCTCACTATGTTGCCTAGGCTGATCTGGAGCTCCTGGGCTCAAGCAATCCTCTCACCTCAATCTCTCAAAGTACTAGAATGACAGGCATCCACCACCACACCTGGCCTAATTTCTTGTTTCTTAAGCAAGCTTACAATCAATATGGTTTTATATTTTTATATAATCTAAACTGCAGGTATTAAAAAATATTTGAATTCGGAATCATGAGCATGGTGTTTATTTGCATATTTGGGGGAAGATGAATTTTTTAAATGTGATTTCATTCATTAATATAAGACAGGCAGGGCTTCTAGTTTGTCAAAGCAGGTGGTAAATTAGAAATCAGACAATTTTATTTACTCTATAGGACTGTGACAAAAGTGAAATCAGTAGTGATTGTAGATGTGAAGACTGTTTTATATAGTGTGGTCAGGAAAGACTTCTGTGAGCAGATGACATTTGAGAAAAGAAGGAAGAAGCAGTGGAACCCATCATGTAAAAATCTGAGGGTAGAAAGACATCCAGATAAAAGGTAGCAAATCTAGGTGCCCTGTATAGAGGAGGACCCAGAGAATGTTACTCAAAAAGGGCAGAGAGGCAGGTGAAGGTGATAGGAGAGGACAGATAGAAGAAGGCTTTGTAGGTCATGGAGGGGAGGTTGGATTTTACATGTGATATGATACCAACTTAGTGTGGAGTAAAGGATTGGGGAGTTTACCTGATTTGATTACTATTGTAAAAGACTAGTTGGGCTGTTCTGTGGGGATTGTGGAAGGACAAGAGCGTAAACAAAAAAGCTCGTTGGGAGGCTACTGCAGTCATCCAGGGGAGCCACAATGATGGCTTGTACCAGAATGTCTAAGGTGGCAGTGGTGAGAAGTGGTCAGATTCAGGGCATAGTTTGAAGATAGAGCCCAAAGGACCTGCTGATAGATTGGACAAGGAGGAGAGAAGAAAAGAACAATTCATGACTCATATATTTGGGGTCTGAACAACTCAAGGGAGCAGGGAGGGTATGAATTGAGGAGATGGGCAGGACCAAGTACTGAAGTGCCACTGTGATTGTGCAGGCCTTGTTGGAGTTAGGTGGTCTTACATTTCCCTCCAGTATGGTACATTATTTCTTCAGCTTGAACCTTGCAAATGAATTCATTCTAGGAATAGTAGGATGTATTCTTGTACAGGCTAATAATGTTTAGTTTGCTTGGATTTAGGAACACTTTTAATTTAAAGATTACTTTTTAGAGTAACAGTTCTTCACAAATGTAAATTTGCACTTGAAAAATGCACTATTCAGTATTTCATTAAAATATATTGCTTTTGAATTTCAACCATCCCATTGCTACTAAAAAAGTAAAGAAAAGCTTTAAGAAACAAACATAAAAACAAAACAGCTTTTTCTCATGCTTCAGAAGCGTACTGAGTTTTACTTAGACTCTCAGTCATTTAGCTGGGCAATTAGGATGAAATTATTTGTTAAAATTTATTCACATACAAATTAAAACTACTTTATGCATAGGTGTTGCAATGAATATTCTAATAACTTGTTTGTTCAAGTTACCTCACCTATGTCAACAAATAGAGAAAACATGGTATTGCCCCCTCTCTGGTTTTAAAGGAAGGAATTACTAAAGTTGCACTTAGACACAGAGATGAGGTATGCGTCATATATAGCTAAAAGTATTTGCATGTAAGTGGTCATAATAGTTATTCTTCCTGAAATTTATTGGCTTATGGGTTTTCTAAAATTTGCTGTACTGTTTTTAACCTGCTAAGCCTAGATTCTTTGAGAACTATAGGGAAAAATGGATAATAAGATATTGTAGATTTCTTTAATTTTATACTATTTGAATTTTATTTATTTTTATTTATTTATTTTTTTGTTGGAGTCTCACTCCATCGCCTAGGCTGCGGTGCTATGGCACGCTCACAGCCACTGTGGCATCAACCTCCTGGGCTCTGGCGATCCTTCCACCTCAGCCTTTCAAGTAGAGGGAGCTACAGGTATGCACTACCACGCCTGGCTAATTTTTTTTTGATTTATTGTAGAGATGAGGTCTTGCCAAGTTGCCTGGGCTGGCCTGGAACCCACGGGTGCTGGCAATCTTTGGCCTCCCAAAGTGCTGGGATTACAAGCCACCAATCCTGGCCTTACTATTTGAATTTTAGATCAACTACTTTGCCCAGTAAAGTGCACCTGAACTTAGGTGCTTTTGGTTGAAATACTTTAGAGGCTTTTGTTGCTGTCTCTTTAATAACAGTCATCCTACAGTGTTTTAAATATGGTTTTTCGTCAGACACATTGGCTCACGCCTGTAATTCTAGCACTTTGGGAGGTGGAGACAAGAAGATTGCCTGAGCCCAGTGGTTTGAGACTAGCCTGGGTAACTTGGCGAGACCTTGTCTCCATAATAAATAAAAAAAACACGCTTGTAGTTGCAGCTACCTGGAAGGCTAAGGTGGAAGGATCACCTGAGCCCAGCAGGTTGAGGCTGCAGTGGCCATGAGCGTGCCACTATAGCCTGGCTGACAGAGTGAGACTCTGACTCAAAATAAAAAAGTATTTCTTTCAAGATGTTAGGGTTTTTTTATTGCTTAATATCATATTTTATTAAATATTTGTCATCCAGTTACTTGACTTTTAAAAACTTGAAAACAGAATTAACTGTACTTTCATCTTCTTTTTCTTTTGGCAGAGAAATTGCTTTTACTAGGCAACTTCATGAGAAGACATCTCAACTCAGCTATTATTATATGGGTTTCTACATTCATTCGTGTCCAAAGATGAAATATAAGGTAAAGTTGATTTTCACGTGTCTGTTTTTATTATAGAAAAGTGAATCTTTAATAAAATTTTTATCTCAGGGCATAGGATTTGGAGCTTTGAAGGAAGGACAAATGGGTTAATAAGGAAATTTCTTTGCCCCCTTAGAAGTTAAACTTTCTGTAATGAGAACCACAGCTTCTACTGCTCTTACTTTGTAATCCGTCATATTATTATGAGATTTAAGTATATTTCAGAATTTCCCTTTTAAAAAGACAATTTTATGACTCTTTTCAATGAAATTCTTTGATGTTTTCTAAGTATTAGCAGCCCACTGTAAAACCTCTGCAAGGAGCAACGTATGGGAGAGCAGACTCTCCACCTCCACCCTCTGTGGTGACAGTGACCACATACCTCTGCCTTACTTAGTGGGAGACTTTAAGATCTGAAGATCAAAAAAAGATGCAAACATGCATCTTCTATGTAAAACTTGTGATCTAGGTAAAGACTTGGGGCATTTTACATAAAGCTAGGGCATATAGTGTTCTAATTAGTGACCTTGGAGGACATGGGGTCTTTACCACACACGGGGTGGAAGAGGAAAGAGTTTAACCATAAGGAGGGAGTGAGCAGCTCAAGGAAAAAGTAGGCATGATGGAGAAGCACATTTCAAGAAGAAAGAGCAATAGAAGTAAAGGATTCAGAGGTGGCATTGCCTATATTACATTCGAAAATGAGAGAGAAACAAATGACTGTGGAGGACCTTCAAAGCTAGTCTGATGTGTATTGACGATTGCAGAGCAGAGCAGTGCAAATAAAAAACATAGAATATGTATAAATATTATTTTTTTAATGGAATTTTAAGAACTTGCCATATTGAAGAAAGTGTAATTTAACCCCTATTGACCCATTACCCAACTTTAGCAGTATTCATACTTCTTCATCTATTTCTTCACTCTATTTCCACCTCCACTGCCTTTTGAATTATTTTCGAGCAAATTGAGGCTGTCATTGAACCTTTAAATAGTCTAGTGTGTATTTCTAAAAGATAAGGGCACTTTGAAAACATAACTGCAATCTCATCATTATACCTAGAAAGTGGTAACAGTATGTTGAAATATCACTTGATATTTCAGTGTTCATATTTTCTTAATTGTCTCAGTTTTTTTAATGGTCAACTTGTTTGGCTTAGGACTCAGACAAGATTCATATGTTAAATTTGGTTGATATGTCTTCTAAAAACTTTTAAATCCATACATTTCCTCCTTTCTCTCTCTTTTTTGTCTTTCTTACAAAGGAGTAATTCATAGGACTTGATGATTAACTAGATGTGGTGATGATTATAGTTCCAAAGCTTTGAAATTAAGTACTAAATGGCTGGAAAGTGATGATTCCATTGTCAGAACTTGTGGATTCTAAAAATAGCCTGGCTTAAAGATAAGGGTAAAAACACAGTATCTTGGTTTTACGTTGACAGTGCAGACAAACTGATTGAGGCGCTCGGAGGTTCTCTTTGAGCTCATATTTAAGCTTATATTATAAATAGATAACTTCTGAATTTGGTTGTCTTCAAAGACTTCCTTTATGCTTAAATTACTAATCTACTTGATAGGCCTAAATGTGTTCTGTGCAGAAGGGAAAGTATGAGCATATTTCTTTTTTTGCCTAAAAAATACTTACTTATGTTTTTACTAATTATTTCTCCTTCTCATTTTCATGGTACTAGATCTAAATTAGTTCAGGGTAGAAAACTCAAGTACTCAAGATATTTTAGTACAATTATAACACTCAAAGAAAACTCTAACTGCCTTATATATTAATATTTGTTTGTATATTACTTGTATGTGGCCCATTCAAACAAGTATTTTTTGTACAGACTTAGGGACCTGCAAGGACTTCACTTATACCTCTCATCTAGGCTATGAACCATTCTAGGCTCATAGCGTTCTCTTGGTGAGTTTATCCATATGCTTAAGCAGAATTCTAAATTCCGCTATATTTTAGCCTATTTCTTTCCTTCTTTTTTTTTTTTTTTTTTTGTCATCAGTGGGAATGTCGAATATAGTTTCATCATCCCTTTCCTCTTCATGAAGACTTTAACTCACACCTTTGGTGACTGTAGTCCAAACTAAATGGTCCAAACTAAATATTTTATGTATTTTAGTCTCCTCCCTAGGTAGAGCTCTGCTTGGAAATTCAAGTGAGCCCATATCTAGTTTTAAGATAAGGATTTTTTTTTTTAAGTCGGTGTCTCACTCTCTTGCCCGGACTAGAGTGTGGTGGCATGACCACAGCTCACTGCAGCAGCCTCGACCTCCTAGGCTCAAGCAACCCTTCTGCCTCAGCTTCTAGAGTAACTGGGATTACAGGCATGTTATCATATTATTTATAATTTTTTTTTTATTTGGAATTTCAGTTGCCCAGGCTGGAGTGCTGTGGCACAGTCAAGGCCACCCCATCGTCAATCTGCTGGGTTTCAGTGATCCATCTGCCTCAGCCTTCCAAGTAGCCAGAACTGCAGGCATGCGCTACCACTTCTGGCTAATATTTGATTTATCGTAGAGACGTGGTCTCACCAAGTTGCCCAGGCTGGTCTCAAACACACAGGCTCAGGCAATCCACTTGCCTCAGCCTCCTGAGGTGCTGGCATTACAGGTAGAGCCACTGAGCCAGACCTGTAATTATTTTTAAAGTGTTCTCCATACTTTTCAATTTGGTCATAATTGATGGTCACTATAGATTATTACGATTAAAAGAATTTTTTTTTTGTAGAAACTAGATCTTGCTATGTTGCCTAGGCTGTAAGTTAAGGATTTTTTAAATGTCCTCCATGCTGTTCAATTTGACTTAATCACATCCAGCCTAAATCCATCAGAATTACTGCTTCAGGATATTACTCATTTAATTTCATTTGTACAAGAAGTACTACCATGCCTGCTTGCCTTCTGGCTTTTGTTCTTCTTTCATCCATGAAACACTTAAACTGAGTGAATAATACAACCAAGATCCCTGGAACGTCATTCTGGTGGACAAACTAACAATAAATTGAGAAAGAAGACAAACATCAGATAGGGATAAAGTACTATGTGATGTGGTAGACAATTAACTGAGTGTGACTAGTTTAGATTGTATGGTTAGGCTAAGATTTGAAATGTCAAGAAGTCAGCCAATGGGAAGTTTTGGTGTCATTTCAGAAAAAGACTGAGGAAACAGTATAGCACTGGCCTTTGAGTTGTTGATTTCGGCTGTACTTTATGACTGAGAGAACATTTTTAAAAGACTGATGCTTGGGCCATACCTTCAGAGAGTTTAATTAATTGGTTTGGCACCAACCATGGACATCAGATTTTTTGTTTTTTTTATTTTTTTATTTTTTATTTTTAGTCAGAGTCTCACTCTGTTGCCCAGACTGGAGTGCAGTGGCCACTTCCGGCCACTGCAGCCTCGCCTGCTGGGTTCCGGCGATCCTTCCTTCCACCTCAGCCTTCCAAGTAGCTGGAACTTCAGACACGCTACCATGCCCAGCTAATTTTTTTTATTTATTGTAGAGATGAGGTCTCGCCAAGTTGCCTGGGTGGGTCTCGAACCCTTGGGGTCAGGCAATTTATTCACCTCGGCCTCCTAAAGCACAGGATTACAGGCTGAGCCACCGAGCCCAGCCCAGATTTTGTTTTAATGCTCAGAAGATTCTGATGTGAAGTCAGACTTAAGAATCACTGTACCAGATTATTTATTCACATTTGAGAACTTAATGTTGAACTGGAAAGATGATAATTTCCGTTTTAAAGTTGCTATTGTCTGTTTATTAAATTTACAGTTATTCATATTAAAGAAACTTACATCTTTGTCATCTTTGTCCTGGAACAGAGAAAGCTGACCATCTAGAGTTTTTATTTGTTTTTCTCATCTGTGACCTTTACCCATACTGTTCTCTCTTGTTTTTTGTTTTGTTGTTTTTCCTCCTTTTACCCATCTCCCATGCTTGCAAACTCCTCATCTGTCATTTCTCAGCCTAACAACTATTTTCTCCAGTAATCTGTACTAGACTCTAAGACTAGATTTGATTACTCATCATCCTACTGCATAGTGTTTAACATTTCTTCCCAAAACTAGTATATCTCCTGTGTATGTAATGCATTCCATGAGAATCTGATAATGTTTGTCTTTATGCTGTATCCTAAGTAGCTAACCATATATCTGCCATATAGTAGATATTTAATATACATTTGTTGAATTAATACATCTATTGATTGATGAAATACTAATACAGAGGTCCAAGAAGTACGTAAGATAGGGAGAATCTCTTTTTTTTTTTTTTTTGAGTTGGAGTCTCACTCTGTTGCCCAGACTGGAGTGCAGTGGCCACTCCCGGCCACCACAGCCTCCACCTGCTGGGCTTCGGCGATCCTTCTGCCTCAGCCTTCCAAGTAGCTGGAACTACATGTGTGTGCTACCACGCCCGGCTGATTTTTTTATTTATTGTAGAGATGAGGTCTCGCTGCCCAGGTGGGTCTCGAACCCGCGGCCTCAGGCAATCCACTCACCTCAGCCTCCCAAAGGCGTGGGATTACAGGCTGAGAATCTCCATTAACTTAAGTATTTATTTATTTATTTATATTTTTTTTGAACTGGAGTTTCACTCTGTCGCCCAGAGTGGAGTGCAGTGACCGCTCCCGGCCACCGCAGCCTCGACCTGCTGGGCTCCGGCGATCCTTCTGCCTCAGCCTTCCAAGTAGCTGGAACTACAGGCGTGCGCTACCATACCCGGCTAATTTTTTTATTTATTGTAGAGATGAGGTCTCGCCAAGTTGCCCAGGTGGGTCTCGAACCCGCGGGCTCAGGCAATCCACTCACCTCAGCCTCCCAAGGCGCAGGATTACAGGCTGAGCCACCGAGCCCGGCTAACTTAAGTATTTATTGAGCATGAATGGGACAGCTTCTACTTTGCAAATAGATTATAACTTAGTGACTGATACAGTAATAACAATATGGTAGATACTGTGACTGGATATTACAGAGTATTGATAGCAAA